CAAATTTATTACACTGTGACGTGAAAAGCTACCGTACACGGTTGACATGACAAAGAGCTGAAATGACAAATTAAAAGGTTCCGGTGCGTCGTTTTTCTTGAGCAGTCTCAGTTGAACTATAGTATGAGATGCTGATTCCATTAAAGCTTGATTGACATCATTAGGTGCAATATGCCATGAAGGAAGCGATCTATGACGATCGTATTTTCTTGTCACGTGATAATTTAAGGTGAATGTTGCAACAGCATACTGTCTCAGACTCAGACTCATAGGACACTCCTTGTAAGGTTCAGATACATAGCATGCAGACAAGTTAAGTGTCATGATTTGACCAGGATATACTGGTTTGTCGTAAGTAGGCTTGACAACAGAGTTTGGTGGAGTTGACATGTTGTTGAGAAGAGACTTAGACTCAAACCTAAATATTTTCTTGTACAATGAATGCAGATAAGAAGCATTTTTAAATTCTCCATGGGTATAACATTCATACAAGTTACTACTGAAAATAGAACTGCCTGATTCCTGAGCATTGTTATTAATAAAAGTCAAACTGATGCTAGACCAGTTTGTCTTCAATGCATTGAAAGTGCAAGTTTCCAATAGTTCATTATATGCAAATATAGCACCTCCTTTAGTCAAAGCAGAGTTGTTTATAAAGGTTGCATTTAGTCCATTAGCAAGATAAAAATGACTACTATCAGAAAGCTTAAAAGCTGGTCCTCTCTCACCTTTGTTGTTTCTAAAGTTGAGCGAGCCAGCTAGCAAGTTTATTCTTGTCTTAGCCACTTCAAACACAGATCCATAGTTATCATAAAAATGATTAACTCCAGTAATGTTGAGTTCCTTAGCATTAAAAACTGAAAAAATCCCAACCCCAGTGTTAATACCCAAAATGCTAATATGAGAGTTATCATGTGCAGTGATGTTCTCTAACAAAATACTAAGCATTCCAAACTGAGCCCTGTCGTCATAAAAGTATTCTCTTGCATACAAACAGGCCCCAGTAGTCCTGACACTGTTGCGATGAAACATAACATTTCTAAAAACAACAGAAATGTCAACACTGCTAAAATCAATAAGCTGGAAATTAATAGGCCAGTATATTCCGATAAAAACAGAGCCACTGCCTCTACTGTCAATAAAGTCATTTGTCTTAGCCGAAAAGTGACTGTTCTTTACCAGTAGTGGAGAGATGTGATTAGGAGGTACATCCAACATTACCAATGCCAGTTTTGAGCCATAAGCCTGGCATTTCCCTTCTATTACGTTTCCATGGCTGAAATCAATATGATTAAGTATCGTTTTTCCATGATTGGTCCCATAATGAAAAATTAACATTGCACCTGACATAGTCCCAATATTCCGAGTAAAATTTAAGTTACGAATACAGACTTTTGATTCAAAGTTATGCTGAGTGTATAACACAGTAAAACCAGCAGCATTGATAACTGGGAAAGGCTTACGAGGTACATTTTGCAAATCTGCAAGACAACCAACACCTAAAATGTACTCAACATTGGAAAATATTGCTGCATAGCTTACAATAACATTGTGGAGACGATCATTTGTTGGGAGTTCATCTGTGAAAAATAACATAACTCCACTACCAATACTAATCCCAGTGGATGATGCACTAATACCTGAAGAAACATT